GCAAAATCCTTAGGAATAAAAAGCTTGGGTAGTTGTTTAGCCAATTTTGTTTTAAATTGGATAAAAAATATCTAGCTGTGAAGTTGCCTACCCTTTCATACAGTTTAATAGCAGAAAAGATGAGTTAAGTGTCAAGAAGGCTAGAGCTCAAACAAAATATACMAAGAATTTGTTAAAGGAAACTAAGGGATAGAGCCCAGCTGTGACTACCCCTCGCTGCGTGTTTCACGTAGCTGCTTCTGCTCTTGCTCCCWGGCGCCGGTGCCCTCGGCTGTCCCGCGTGGGCAGCGGCTCGGGCTGCGCGTCCTGCCCTTGCTGCGCACGGGCGGCAGCGGGCTGCGACGCTGCTCTCGCCTCTGGCCTCCCGCTCAGCCACCTTGCGAACRTAAACGCGCAGGAGCGGGACGAAACAGGATCGGCCGGGGAAAAGCTGACACGGGCGACACCTGAGCTCTGGKGGTTCAGATCGCTCCAGTCTGTCGAACAAAACTGCTTTCTTCCTTTGCTTTCTGATTTAAATAAAAAGGGGGAAAAAAAGAGGGAGGGAGAGGCAGGGGGAAAGGAGCTGGATTCTTTATCTGCAGTAAACCAAGGATTGCTCGTTGGAAAAATGCCACCCTAAGCTAACTAAGCTACCAAAAGGCATTCAAATATATATATATATATATATAATTTTTTGCATAAATACCTACAGGTTGGTTTGTTTGCTTGTTTATCACGGGTATCATTTCCTACTCTTTCTGTATTTTGTTTAACACAGCAGAGCACTGCAGCCGGTGCTGGAGTGGGAAGCCGGGTTCCCCTGGGGTCGCTGCTCTGCTCCATCAGCTGCAGAAGAGGCTGCAGGATTTCCGAGGAACCTCAAAGCGCTTTCAGGAGCCTCCACAACTGCTTTTATCCTGGAACAGCCCCTCTGGCTGGGCTGCCTTGCGGTAACGAGTCATTTGTAAGTGGTGCCAATGCACATTGTCTGGTGTTACTAGACCAACCACTCGGTTGCACCAACCTGGCATCGATATCTGGGTGCTGAATCTGGTCCTAAGGTCATTTGATACTTGCTGCAAAACTGTCAGCTGTAATTTTTCCTTGTAATGAGCTCTGTGCAAGGCACTGGTAAATCCTGGGCCGCTGATGACCTATTCTCCTCAGTTACACGCTGAAAATAATCCCTTGGAGGCAGTAGAAACTGTGTTGACTTTTTAAATGTATTTCCTTCTAACCTGGATGTTTACACATTTTTATCAGCTTTAATAGGTGGTTTTAAAGTAAATCAGCTTTGTTACGTAACACGTGCGGTCCTATCTGCAGGATCACAAACACTAACTTCCCATTTATGCCCTGGCACTGCAATATTAGCAGTCAGGACAATAGAAACCCCGTTCAGTCTTTTCATATGAGTGACACCAAAGTCCCTTTTGCAGCTCCCGGTCAGAGACCCCGTTTTCTGCCATGCAGGTGGTTCCAACCCCGCTGGAGCCTGTGGAACTTGGGCAATTTCTCCACTTACCAACTGTTTTCGTGGTCTGCAGCCGAGTTAGTGGGCAAGGGGCGAGCTCCCTGCAGCGGGACTGCTCTCCTGCCCTGTCCCAAGTAGGGTTAGTTGCATCGCTGGTTCTTCCAAGGTGGGGAAGTTAATGGTGAATCCTCCTTTTCCGCTCATATGTGTTTGATTGAGGTGCTGCACGGCAGCCAAGTCAGCTGTGCCCAATTTCAGCTAAATAGCATTGATCCAGAGTGAAGTCAGTGACTTCATGTCTTCATCCTGCTCTTTCAAGCAGCAGCTTTCCTCTGCTTTAGGGTTTTTTTTTCCCTTGGGATTATTCCTAGATTCAGCAGTGACTGTTGTTCCAGACCATAAAATGGAGTGTTTTACTGAATGGAAGAAAAAAATTTTAAGTAATTGTAGGAATTTTATGTATACAAAATCTGAATGATTCTAGGTTTTCACAGTTACAACACTCCAGGTAGAAAACGCCTGTGACTTATTTAGGGCTTGATCTTAACATCGACAAAAGGTAAGAGACTTTCCACCTTCTTTCCTCCTCCCAAGTTCCTCGTACCCACGCGTATCTGTAAACGGATCAATCRAGATATTTCTCCTACGTGCTGGGAACAACGAGGTCTTAGCAATGTGGGAAGGGTTTGGGTATTGTCATCATGAAGGTAATTTCAGTAGATTGGAAGCTAATACATTTTGGTGAGGTTTTCTTGATAAAAAGAAATGGAGTGGAAAAGTTCAGCTAGCTGGAGGTAGATTACAAGGAAACAAAGACATAGTATCAGCTTTTGTTGTTGTTATCACAGCTGTGTTTGGGTACTGGAAGTTACATCATTACAGAAGGTATTAGGAGGTAAAAGAACATGAATTTATTATGACATCTGAAAACATCTTATACCTTTTATACTATAACGTTAATTGCAAATTGCATTCAAGTGCAAGAAGRGAAATCATTTCCCAAAGGCATTGCAATTAATTTATGTGGTTAATTATACTTGTGATTTTACTTATGTGACTAATTATRATCAGGTTTTATAGTACATATATATTTATTTATAATGCTAAAAGTCCCACAAAATAGAGGTTTGAGGGGTTAATGTTAGGAAATACATTTAAACTCCCTAGTGAAAGCTGCACGTTGCCTTGCCGGCCGCTGGCGGGCTGGGAGGTACCAGGTTCAGGAGGGGCTTGGAGGGCATCAGCAAGAAAAAAACAATATTTTTGGGGCAGTTTCTTCCTCCTCCTGTCGGCCTTCTGAGGAGCGAGGCCGCTGCAGAGCTGTCGGGAAGGCAGCAAGGAGCCCCTTCCTCTATTCCAATGTAAAATGCAGTTTTCAATTATTTTTAGAAAGCAATCACCACATGCCTAAGGTAAGGAATGTTCCTTCTCTAAACAGGGCATGTCCTTAAGTGCAGTGGTGCAAAGTGTGATGGTAGGAAACGCCTCTCCCTGTTTCTGTATCAGAGATACAGATTTAGGCTAGAACTGGTACTAATATATTTATGATGCCTCAGAATAACTCAGTGAGATTTAGTTAAACCTCTTTGTATCTTTTTTTTTTTTTTTTTTTTTTTTGAAATTTGAAAGTGCCGTTTTTTGACTATGGGTAAATGGAAGTATATTTTATATAGATCCACTATTGACATCTACTCAACAGCAAAACTGCTCCCTATTCGCTTGGCAAATACCGTCTTCCTTGGGCCCCCATCTGGGCAGGAGAGAAAAGAGAAGAAAACTTTCCATTTTCTCCAAGCAGTCGTGGAAAAAGAATTCGGTTCTCGGGAAGCGCGTTTGGAGCTCATGTTTGTAGCAGGGAGGAGGGGAGCGCAGGACAGGGCTGACAATTTGTGAGAATTCCTCGTGGAGAATGAGGGTGTTTCCTGTGGGCGATGCCAGCCTTTCCGCGGCTCCCTGTGCTTCCCGAACAAACCCTTTGTCAAAACGCTGCTGCATAAAGTGTCTCCGCRTGCGTATCCGTGTGGGAATGTCCTGCAGGTTTCCAGGGATTGCAGTAGGAGTTGAGCCGGGCCTGGTTTGTTCTGGCACGTGTGCGGGTTCGGATCCGCAAGCTCTGGCGCCCGGACAGGGCTCCCGAGCCAACACGTGCTCTGCTGCTGCACGGCAATAAAAAATCTCTTTTTTTTCTTTGTTTGAAGAGTTTTTGCTGTAAATTTCTATTAATTTACTGCCCTAATGTAGTGCTGTAGTTGGCATGCTCAGCGCTTTGCACACTGTCTGCAGAGAGGCAGAATACCCTGGGCAAGAGCTCCAGGCGGAGCGGGATCATCGCGGCTCCGGCGCCGCCGCTCCCTGCTGCCCGGCCTGCCGACCCAGCCCGGAATCGCGGAGCTCCCAGGTCGGCTGCAGCCCCGTGTGCCTCGGGGGTCCTGAGCAYCTCTGGCGTCCCGAGCTGCAGAAAGGGTGGCCAGAGCTCGTGCCCATGTCTGCAGCCTCCTCGCTCCAAGGGGCCTGGAGAATGGGAACGAATAGAGTGACTGTGCCCTAATTCCAGGGAAATGGGAATCTCAGGGACTGCAGCTACGTGGCCCGAGCACGGGAATGTGGAGAGAGAGAGAGAATGGGGAGAAAAAAAGAAAAATCACCCCTTTGCTGAGTTTGCTCTCCGTAAATAAACGCTGAATGTGCGCCTTGCTCAGAGCGGCTGCTGCACACGCTGATTAAGCCTTATTCTTTGCATCCACAAGCTAAAGGTACCGAGGCTGCGTTTTCCTTAGTGCACAGGATGAGCAAGGTCTTTTTGCACCACAGAAGTCACAGATTAGAGCTTCCCCCCCCACTTTTTTTATTGTGAATGACACTGTAAACATTGAATCACCTTATCAGCTACTTAATCTTTTAAATTAAATAGAATTGTATTGTTATTGCTATTCTCTTTCCTATTTCAGAGACAGAATAATCCTATGAAGGGGACTGCCTGTTCCTTCTTTACTTGAGTAAGAAATAGTTACAAGGTTCAGTCAAAAGAATGATTTTGGATATAGGAGCCCAAAAGAAGTGAGGAGGAATTTCAGCAGTTACAGGCTGGGAGAGCTTAAGCAAATATTTTCTGTGGTGATAACTCCGTTAGAAATGGTCTTTCAAGAGCAATTCTGTAGAATTTTTATGTCCTGTTGCTGGAAAGAACTGCTGCCGGCAGCTGTAGTTGTTGTCATCGTTGTTTTTAACTCTTTGGAGAAAGAATTGCTATTACTATATTTTGTTGTTGATTAGAAAGCCCTGCATTTCACTTTTCTTCATAAAATTGGCATAAAATTCAGATTCACTCAGGGAAAATTAATCATATTGGTCTATTCAGAGCTTATATATGCAGAGGTATATGCAGAGTGCTTGGGGAGCACTCATAATTTCATMATTTCAGCATTTCCTTTCTTTTTTATTTTTCCTCCCCTCTTAGCCGTATTTTTCAAGCTTTCAGAGGAAATGCGATCCTCCCCACAGTAACTAATTTGTGGAAGTTCTCTTCACAGGGCAGGCTGCAGCCTGGCGTAGTGGAAAGCGGCCAGGAGGTGATCAGCAATAAATGAACGGGAGCTGCCCCAGATGTTGGGTTCCTTCCTGCTGTGATCGCCACGAGGAGAGATGCTCTGAGAGGGGCAGCACGAGGTGGGTTTGGGGGCTGCGGGCAGCGAAGGGGGCAGCTGCCCGGGCTGTTTGCTCCCGAGCGCTGGGCTCCCGGCTAAGGCGCCAGGCTGGGGACGGTGGCAGCAGCTGCMGGAGCTTTGTGGGACTTCTGTGTGCGACTGTGCAGTTTATGAAGCTGCTCGTAAATCCTGAAAGGGCAATAAAGCGTGAGCCTGCCGGAACCATCCCTTTATAACCTCTTGTAAAAAAAGCCTCAAAGCAAAGGCTCGCTCTTCTGAATTCCTCTGCGTTTCCTCTGCCTCGGGGATGTTGAGAGGTGAGGGAAGTATGGAAGTAGGCAATGGAAATAGATGGTAGAGAGGTGCTCGGGGAGGGATCAGTAGGGAACTGTCCTGGCCGGCTCAACAGGCGGGTATTTGTGCAGAGATAAAGCTGGCCGCGGAACAACGAGGGCTGTATCTCAAAGAGCCCTGTGCAGATCACGCTGCGGCCTCGCACACGGAGCAGAAGAGCCYGATCCTGTCGGTATCGGCAATGTCTGAATCCAGTGCGGCTCCACAGAGCCTCCCTCCACCTCCAGAAACCCCAGTGATAAAACCCCGAAGAAAGTGGGGGGAAAGTGTCACTTTTCTKAGTGCTTGTTGTGAGGCTCATCTTCAGGAGGAGCAAGAGAAAGGAAAACTCAAGGCAGTGAAAATAGAATAGGGCTTTGTTCAGCTTTAATCTTTAATTTATGCTTGCTTCTCAAAAGGATTTTTATTATCCGAAAGTACAGTTAAAACTCTAACTATTCTCCTAAATGTAAAAGGTGAATTTTCCCAAGTTTTAAGCTTATGTTAAGCATTATTTAAGCATAAATTTTCATTCTGCTTTTTCTCCTTTCCTGAGCTGTGTTTAGTAATGCTTGCTTGAGTCTCCTGAAAATGCCCTTGTAGTTGTCATGTAGGGCTCCCTCTGCAAATGTTATCCTAAGGAAAAAAGTATATTTTTTTTGATAGAAAATTCTACTTTTTGGCATGGCCAAAACCTAAAATACTTAATGAAGCAGCAGCAAGTTACATGCCATTAGCCGAAGGAAACAGCCAGCTATGATTGTCTTGAGAAGAGCTGGAACATTACATGGAAATCTCATTTCTTCTTGCTATATTGAGCTTTCCTGAAAGTAATTGGATAAGGTCGGAAAAAATCAGTTCAAATCGCAATCTTCTTGGAAAAATATAGATCTTAATATTTCACAGGCATGATAGTATTAAAAAAAAAAAAAAAAAAAAAMAAAAAACAGATGGAAGCATTCACATATTTCTAAACTGAAAAAGCTTCCAAGATATAATACTGGTAAGAGCTATTTCTTGAGCTCTCCCATTTTATTATGCAATTGAAAATTATATAGGCTCATCAAAGTCKCAGCTTCAAAGACAATCCTCCAAAGAGGGAATTTCCACAGATGTGTGATTAGCTCATGGGGCTGAGCTTCCCTTTTCTCTCTAGCGCATCGTGTCAGCTGTGGGCTCTCCTACTAGGCTGAATAAATAGTCTCAGCAGTGAAACCCTGACCTGAAATTCAGAATTAATGGATTGCCTAAGGAATCCAATACCTTATCTACAAATTAACTCGTATTGAAGGAAGAAGGGAAAGCTGTCTGAGTACAGAACAGATTTGTCAGGCATCCTTCACTACAGGCAGGCCCAGATGTTGCTTGTTTCTGGGTGAGCATTTCTTTGCTCCGTGTTGCACCTTCACACAGGCAAATGTGGGAGCAATGGGAATTATTCCAGACAGTCGGGGCTCATTTGCGGTGCTGGGTGTAAACTTGGAACCAACAAGACCTTTGTTAGGCACTCAAGACAAATTCCTCCTAAAGGTCCTCTGCGTAGCCTGTTTAGCATTCTTTTAAGGTTATGTTAAAACCACAGGATTTCAGATAATCCATCTTAATGTTTTCATTTATTTTAATTAAAATTTTCATACATTTATATTATAGTTTCTTATAATTCTATTAATTTAGTGCAATGGCTTTTATTTTACATAAGAGCAGCAACAGAAGTCCTTTAAAAAATCTACATGATTAGTGCCTGGAGGAGAAGAAGATTTAATTCTGTGATCAGATATAATTCATGAATTGGCAGTTAGAGACAATACTCTATATGAAAACAACCAAAACAAACAAAAACTGCTAAAAAAAAAAAAAAACCCAAAACAAAGCAAAAAAACACAAAAACAAAAACGAGGACCTTGAATGAGGTGAGAAGTCTTCATTGAAGGAGAGAACTCAGGATATATGTGAGGACTGAGAGCAGCATTAAGACCCGAGCAGAAGGCTGCGGGAGGCTGGCACCAGACCAGTAAATGCTTCGGTCATTCAGCGGCTGCACAGGCCGGAAATTTTCAACCATGTGTGTTGTTGAGTTTTTGCCACCAAAGTAAACCATTGAGAACTGAGAAACCTGCAGACATTTAGAAAAGAGCGTTACATTCTTTTTCCATGAAGCATTAGGAATTGTGATATTTTTAATCTGCCATGCCTTGCTCTGTGGCATTGTTGTGTGTTAAATGTTGCAGGAAACTTTGTGATGGAGATACTGCCCAAGGTCAACCAGAGAGGCCTTCCTCGAGCCTCCGAAGTCGCTTAGACTTCCTTTCTGTGTGAGTCACGGGTTTTGTCCTGCTTACAGACCTGGATAGCCCAGGTCTGTAATGTTCTTAATGCATTGAATCCTCGCCATGTGTCACGTGGCAGTGACACAAAGCCAGGGGTTTAGGATTATGTCGGCTCTTCTCTCTGCGTGCTCCAGATTTCTGACTTCTTGCAGCAAGAAGCTGGCCCTAGCAGGCAGCAGATCACTGCCTTGTCCCCTCTGTCATGATCAATGGCACAKAGCCGAGCACTGCCCTGTGACTAAATTGATTACAAATATGCTGCAAATAAGCAACACAAATACAGATGTTGGGTCTCGCCCAGACTGTGCTAGAGGGTGATGTTACCAAGACTTCACTCCAGGACATCTCAATTCTTTATCGCGTGTTCTTTCTGTTGAATCCTCTGCATTTTATAGGTGGTCGTGACTGAGTGTCTTGGTTGTCTCTGCAGGACGGATGAGTTGCCATAAAGCTGATAGACCCAACTTTTGATTTTTAAGTATTTTATCCTACTAGGATTTTAAGTGTTCTTAAGCGTTCTTTTTTTTTTTTTTTTTTTAAGTAGAAAAGCAGTGGTATTTGGGATTGAGCAGATGGCTATAGCAGAAGTGCTGTGGATAGATGAAACCCTGAACTATGCACTGATCTGTGCTTTGGTTTGGCTTTCTTTTCACCTTTCTGTTCCTGCTGGGGTTTTTTTTGAGAGCAGATATAATAAGACTACACAGTGACATTGTCAAAACTGGCACTTGTGACTTAGACTGAAGTTAGGGGCACGTTGGAAAGTGTAGGTTTGTCTGAACAGGGTCAGTTTGAAGGTTTTTGTGATTAGGCTGAATGCAACAGAGCAGTGGGGAAGCAAATGATTCTATATGAAACCATGGGAGTGAAGAGGCAGTGAGAGGAGTGGAAAGCCGGCAAGCTGCCCTGTAGGAGATGCCTCTGCAAGGTACCTGTGCCAGGCTGAGTGCCACCGGCTTCTCAAACACGGTCCAGATGACACCCTCGTGGCAGTCCGGGGTGGTGAGGGACCCTATGTACCGGTAGTATCTTGCCAGATCTTCCTCATTTGGGAGAAGAGAGAATAGCGGCAAGGCATCCATCTGTGCTACGTACTCTGGGCAAACAGTGCAGAAATACTGTTTTTAAGAGGCGCAGGGAGCAGGATTGTTCATTCCTGTCTTCACATGCAGCTGCTAAAGGCCTCCCAAAGTCCCAGCCCCAGGCTTGCTTCCCTGGCTGCAGCAGCCATGRGGCATTGCCACAGAAATCACTGCCTGCTGGTTTCAGCAGCCCAAAGAGCACAAATTACACACACCTCTTTTAATAAACATCTGCATTTTTTTAATTATCACTTTGTTTATTCCTGCAGAAGCAGAAATCCTCATTTCGATGCTTAGGGCTTTCTTTACTGTCAAATTTGGAAAAAATAGATTTTCTCCTGCCTGTAATGTTCTGAGTATTTGAATTAATCTTTATCTTTGGGCCCTCAGTCTCAAGTAATCTTAACTAAAATTCAACTACCTTGTAGCATATGTGCTCAAAATATATATACGTTGCTTTTTGAGCAATCTGAATGTCTTACCTTTGTATTTAATATTGTCTAATTCATTTATTAGAGGTGCATATTTTTTATTTTCGTCTCCAACCTGAAATGGAAATATGTTGATTCCAAAACATGCATTTCCCAAAAGCTGGTTACTGTAATAGTGAATAAAGCACAAATAAACCACAAAGATAACAGAAAACAGCAAGCAGCTATAGAAAAGTGTTAAGTAACTATGTGCTGGGACTGCACAGCTGTAGAAATCAGGGATGTTTAACTCTTGGGCTRTTTTAACACAGGCACAGCCCAGCCCTGAGCCGTATTGCTAGTAGATGMAAGTTTGAGAGAGCAAATAAAAATATGGCTACCTACCTCTATAAAGAACGCTAACACAGCTATACCGTTCTCATTTTTCTTTGCTTCTGTTATATCTGGAAGATCTTCTCTTATGTGGACAAGGTGAAGCTGTAACACAACAGTTCAAGGTCAATTGTTTTTTCYTTTTTTATACTGTTAGTTGGTATAAATACAGTCTGACTGCTGATCTGTGTCTATGCTGGGGTGGAACCAGGGCTGTTTTTTTTCTTTTTTTTCTCAATTCAAGGAAAAAAAAAGAACTGAATATGATCTGAGACAAGAATTATGTCCAATAAATAGACTATAATTTGAATGTTCATCRCGAGCAGCCTCATTCCATGCATCTGTCTGCCATGTGAGTAAACCTGAAGTGCTCTGCGTATTGCTGCTACCCTCTGTTCAGCCTGTGCAGTGTAGCAGCTTTTTGCTTCATGGTTTGGAAAGAAGGATGGTCACCAAGGTCACCAAGCCATGTGCACCAGCACTGGCCGCTTGCCTTGCCTCGCCTCAAAGAGACTGTTCCTTTTCTCCCRGCTCTATGCTCACTTCATGGTTGCAGTCCCAAATGTGTTTGAATAAGCAGTATGTGAAAGGGCAATCGGAGTGTGTAGACTTTGAAATATTTCTCCACCCGAAAGGCTAAACAAACCCAGATTTGTTGCAYCTCCATGCCTTTGTTGTGCAAAACTCAAGGGTTTTTTTCTTTTCATGTGATCTCATCGGTAATCAGTGCATCCAGTTCCTTACTTCCACGACTGCAGTTTCATGCAGTAGCATCACAAAAAGCCAGCATTGTTCGCTGCTGATTTGCACCCCTATCCACCTACCTCCATGGCTGTTTTTTCCCCATCTATGCTGTGTTCYGACCCAGGCAGGTAGTGGATGTCTTGGACTCCCCAGTGGAAATGAAGCTCAATGGCCTTGTATTTTCTTTTCAGACCTCCGCCTCCAATTTTAGGGGTTGTGCTAAACGTTGCTTTAACTGGAGAAAACAAAGAGATAGTTAAATATATTTAAATTGTGTATTAATAATATTGGCAACTAGAGATGCATGATTCAAATTTATTCCAAAATTGCGGCTCATTTTTTCATGCTCAGTGCTCCASCAGTTCCTCACTGCAGAAGCTGAACTTTCACAAAATGCAGGTTGAGATGAATTTGAGATGAGAAATCTGCTGGCCCCCTTTGCAGTCATGCACATGCTTTGCCTAGAGCAGGGTGCTCAGCAGTTCCTGTTTGCACCCTCAGTATACCCAGCGCRCTCGAGTGACTCATGGGCTCGCTTGCTTCACCTGGCCTGGAGTGGTAAAGTGCATTTCATGGAATTTGTTTCCTTCTGTAAAATGGTGGAAAAGGGCAGAGTGTTGTATGACTATTGCATCTTTCCTCCGGGAGAATTCACACTACCAAAGCACACGAATATAGCCCCGAAAATCAACTTGATCACAGGTTACGTGGTTTCAAGCATCATTTTTAYCTCCTACTGTGTGCACTCTAATAGTTATTTATTTTGCACAGRTTTTAAATACACTATTATTTAGTTCAAACTGTGAATCTGATTGTTTTAATTTAGAGTAGTGCTGCTACTTAAGGCTAAAGGATTAAGTTATTATCTATTTAATGTGATGCTTGATAGACTGTTAACAGCAAAACAGAATCATCTTAAAGAAGACTTTTTCTAGTTATAACTTAGTTCTTTTCTGTGTTTGAGAATTTTGGATATATTTAAAGATGGAATAATTAAGATCTCTACATTAAGCACATTTTGTTGGTGGTGGTTTGTTTTTTTTTGGGGGGGGGGGGGGGGGGGGAGTGTGAAGGTTTTTTTAATCCTGGATTGAAGCCCTAGAAATTTCATTTTAGTTCCAAATTCCAGATAAATGTGGAGCTTGTGTGAGTCATTTAATTACTTTGCTTTTTTATGCTTTTTTTAATCTGAAAAATGGATTAATAGGATATATATTTGCTGGCTTTATGCCTTTAGATTGTAAGACCTTTGGGACATTGACCTTTACTGTCTGCACATCACCTAATACAATGATATTCTAATCTCCTAGAGAGCTTCTAATTGCAGCTGTAATATAATAGTAACTGTTCCAATGTTCTCATACCACAGGAATTGGTTGCCCTCAGAAGAAAGACATTTAAAAAGTGCAGACAGAAACCTCTAATCCTTTCATATGTCTGAGGAAGATGCGAGATCTGACCAATCTTCATGAATGTTAATTTTCATATAAAAGTTATTCCTCTGAGCAGGAAATGGAGCTTCTAGAGAATCTTTTCATAACTAGAAAGTCATTAACCTGTATATTAGTGAAATATCAAAATATGTACATAGCAATTAAAGTTTTAATTTAGAATTGTCTTAGTTTTTCCAGCTGTAGAAATCTACCTGTCAACCTAGTTATCTTTCCATTTTGATTTAGGAAAATATTTGATGCTTTCAAGTTCCAGTTTTAGGCATCTGTCAGTCACAGCAGCCAGTAACATTTTTAGAATACCAATGGTTATTTAAAAAAAAAAAAAAACCTACAGTAGCACTTCTGGCTGTACCCACCTGTATGCCCATTATTTTCTATGTTCCATTTGGAAGACCCCTGGACATCATATCCTTCAAAATTCAGAGGCTTCAGGCTATCATCATAAATGACATTTTTGGTGACAATATTGATAGGTGACTGTTTGCTTTCTTTGCAGGTGTTGTTTATTAAATACCATCTTCGAGGTTCTATTTAGGGGAGAAAAACATGTTTTTACTGTAGCCTAGGAATCGTTTATAAAGCCTAAGCACTTTAACTGTCAATATGTTCTTGCTTAAATAATTGGAGACATCTTTGAAAGAAAGGTCTTTGTATGGTGGAATTAAGAAAATTTTCTGGCATGTCATGTTTTTGTTTTGTTTTAAAAATACTGTGTTGCAAGAACCTTCTAGTTTAGTAGGAAAAGATGCACATGGAAATAGCTGTAAAATAGAAAGTGAACTGTTGCCAAGACTGGCTGATCATCAACCGTAGCACAAAAAAAAAAAAAAAAAAAAAAAAAAAGGTGGTGCTGGCAGAGAAAAGCTCCAATGCAGCAAACCCAAAGTGGGTTTCAAAGCTGGCTGGGCTGCACATTGTGAGGAGCAAGGCAATGGGCCAAGTCACTGCTCCCAGGGAAGTAAAAGAGAGGTGCAACTATAGGTAAAATATAAACATTTTTCTTAACTCTCTTGATTCAAATTTAAAGAGCTGACTAAGGTAATTACATTCAGAGTACATTTTAAATTATTTTTACATTTGTACTATCAGTCTTGATTGAAATAAAATGAATAGCTTCTTCAGGCATCAGATTTCTGAGTTGTGTTTATAGCTATCATGGCCAGGCAGTGTTAGAAACTCCAACATGTGGACTTGTTGTATTATTTTTAYAAAACCCTCTGGAAAACAGGAGAGCCCAAACACTGAAGCCATCGGAGAGGGAAGCTGTTCCACGGTACCTTCACAGCTCGGCTGCTTGTACTTCTGTGACTGATAGCACCAGTGGCCTCCACATGCAAACAAACAAACAAACAAACGAAACAGATCAGACATGTGAAACTAGATGAAAGAAAGTGCACAAATTAATATGTAAGTGACGGTGGCTAGTAAGAACTGACTTCTTCAGCTATAAAAAGAGCTTGTTGCTAAAGATTTTCCTAGCAGTATAGAGCATGCAACATTTCAATCATTTCTACCCTATAGTAGGCAGCTCTGTCTTCTCTTTAGAGTTCCTTCTAGTTCTTAATGAATTGATTTATTAATATTCCTSCCCAAAATTGTGTTAACATGATATATTACAATTTGGGGAAGGGAGGTTTTACAATTCTAAATAATTTATTTTTGAACCTTTGATCTCAATAACTTTTTAAGGCAACAGTTCTACACTCTGAATATGTTAAAGGTTATTTCCTTATATGAGTACTGCACTTGCCATTATTTAATTTCTTTAGAAATCCACTTGTACAGAAAGTCTTATCTCCTCTGGTTTCAGGAACCATTACAGATTATATGGTGCAATAAGGAATTTTAAGAAATGATAATTTTTTTTTCCATAAGGCATGAGTAATCCGCATTCTAATTCAGGTGAGATTCCACACAGAGGTGGAGGATTTTTCATTACAACGTCTTACTCCTGCTTTTTCAGTGTCAGAGGAAAGGTGAAATTCGGAGCTTACTCAATTTAATGATGTGCCCATCCATGCAGGAAAGCAAGGACTATTTTGCTTATAGCAGCATATTTCAAGGGTAGTTTTATGACTGTAATAATGTTTAAATGGAGTTTACCAAGGAATAGCCCTTTTTGCTTATTTAACTAGCAATCAATACAAAGAATACAAAGCCTGTGGTCATAATAACTTGCTGAAAATATAATCATGATCAATATTRCAGTTTTGTTTGTCTAGGTTTAGGCATTTTAATAAATGGCTAATCAATTTYTAGAGACTGTTATGGAGTCCTACATGTCATTAGATTACTTATTACTGTAATTTGTGCCCCTTTCTAACACTTCTGTAGAGAAGTTCCTAACTGTTTTTAACCCCTAATCTTCATATGGGTAACACAACAAAACCCTCTATTAAGCATTTGCAATTCCTCAGTAGAAACTTGGTGAATAAGGTGGCTAACTAAAGTAACAGTGGGGAGGGATGAAATGAACGTGAAATTACTTAATGAAAGTAATCTTTCTATAAGAGTGTGTTTTAACTCATCTCAGTTCCTCAGCAAATTTTAATTTATGCTGAAAACTATACATAAAGTTAACCCACTCTATTTCACCAAAGTTTAGTCATATTTTGAAGTGAACAAAGAACACTGTACATCCTTGTTGTAAAAACTGAAGTGATTTCTACATTGTTTCATTAATATTTTGCATTAGATCTCTCAAAAATGGCTTTGAGAAAATCTTTCTTTTCATGTCCTGCTGAACTTATACAAAATTTAGTTTGAGAACCTGCAGTCGCTAAAAGCGGTGGTTGTGTTTCGTTCAGGACCACCTGCATTCAGTGGGGGCTGGACCTCCCGCACTGAGAGGTGGTTTGTCCTCTCTGCTCTGAAGCAACCACACAGAAGTACCAAGTGCAGAATGGCACCGAGCGCCTTTATCAGCATGTTAATCAATAAATACTTAGCAAATACTCAGTAAGTTGATCTTCAAAGTGTTCTATTATCTTTAAAATGTGCCAGTGTTTGCATGAATGAATATGTGAAGAAGTATTTTTGGCATCTGTAGTAGCTTAGTTGTCAACATATGCTTTAGAAACTGCTGCGAGCTGGAGGGAGCTTCCTTTGCAAGTGATAGTGGCGTGAAGCTGCTGGAGAAAGCTCTGTGCTGCAGGCACGAATGCTCCACAGACRTGGCTCTCACGCAGTGCGCGAAGGTTATTGCCTGCACAGGTTGGACTCGAGCTGCTGGGTGCGAGATGGGCCCCAGAGGAAGGCTGCCAGGGAGAAAGGAAGGTTGTCAGAGGTGTCCTGACCTGCCTGTTTGAACATCCTTGGCCAAGCTCTGCTGTGCTGGGTTTGTACAGAGCCTTGGACAGGAAGCGTTTGAGCCCAGCTTAGCCATCAGTGCCTTGCTAAAGTGCAAATCAAATTTCACAATCCGTGTGAGCCATAATTAATGGTAAGCGCAGCAAGTGTATTTGTTCCCAGGTGTCAAGCTTGGGGCTTTTAGACCATGAGCAAAGCACCAAGGCATTCAAYGCAGGGCACGGGCAATGCTGAGGAAGGACAAGTACCACCGAACTGCCCTGTCACCGCATCTGATCCAGCGGAGGAGGAAGGGAGAAGAGGTTTCGGAGCCTCTCGCTGCTGGTCCGAGACCAGCCCCTTCCAAACCAAGTGACCGCATCGCATTACCAGTTCACAGATGCCTGGCAGGCTCCAGCAAATCCGCCTGTGGGCTTCAGTCCAGTTTGTCTATCTTTGCAGATGAACAAATGAGAACAGTAAAAATCTTTCAGCCTGTGCATCCAAATGCTGGGGAGAAAAGAAAATTAAAAAATCCAGCCCTTTGGTGGCTTCTGTTGCTTTATATCCCAGACTGATAAAAATTCTGCTCTGCTCTTGTTGAATGCAACTTAAGCCCYGTGATCAGCATCTAATTGTTGCAGGCTTTTCATGTCTGCAAACCAATAAGGAACCAGTGGCTTTCTGTCAAGCTGTTATCACACTTGTGATTTCGGAAACTGGATAGTATCAGTGCATTTGAACAGGATATAAACTCAGCAGTTCTGAAGAAATGTCCTTAAAGCTGCTAAACCTTGAACAATGAACTAATTAAACATTGCAGAATGGTCGAGCAAACAATGAATTAGTGATTATTGTGAATAAGAATAAGATTTTTTTTTTTTTGGTAACATGATTTTAGAGGACAGGATGTTTTGTGTAGGTACTGCTCAAGAAAACCAAACCCACCAAACGCTGTGTCACTTGCCAGCAGAATATGCACAAGAATAATATTAGGCTTAAGTGTGATTCCTCCCTCTGTATGCAGACCTTTCATTTGAAATGGTCCTTTCCCTTCTCCCCACCCAGGCTTAACTCTCCAACCAAGAAGGAAAGACACAACTGATACTTGTCTTATYCAGTCAGTTGTCCATGGTCTGAGGCATGATTATACCCTGGGGTATGTTGTCTAGTCTTGTTTTAATTGTCTCGGTGGCTCCTGCCACTTCCCTTAGGAGAATTTTACACAGTCTATTAGACTTCACTGTCAGGAAATGTTTCCTGTTTAATAGCTTACATTTTCCACTTGCTTATCTGTGTCCCATCACTCCTAGAAATACCACTGAACCACCCTAAACAATCCCTTCCCTCCCTGGTGTTTACAGCATTCGGATGGTTCCTCCATGATCTGTAATTCCTGTTCTTGCTTCTTCCATCCTTACTTTGTCCCATCTCATGGCATTCTGCCCTTTACTTTTCCACTGCYTCCATGTAAGCTCCCTTCTTCATGGCACTGGCAGACCCTCCCTGGTGTCCCTGAGACCCTCTTTGCTCCAGCCTCAGCTCTGCCACCTTCTCGTTGTTTAGTGTATAATGGTTGCTGAAGGACAGACTCCAGGTCATCTTCTCCAGGAGGACACATTCCCGATGCTGCCTTGCTTCCTTCTGGAGGCAACCTGAGCCCAGAGTGAGGCAGGAGAGAGGCAAGGGGAGGCGTGCGGATGAGGTGGCAGCGCCTGGGACTCTGGTGCTCTTCTCTCAGAGTTGCTGTCTAACTATGCTTACTTTATGTATTACCTTACTTCAGCCTAAATAATTTCCTAACTCTTCTTGTTGACCTTTTGCGGGTGAGAGGGAAGGCTATAACTCTCTATATGAATTATATGAAGATTTAAAAGTCACCCTGTGAGACAGCATAGCTGTCACGGATTGCAAAGGCCCACTTGCAGTTTCTATCCAGCCCTTGCTTTTCCAGGCTGCCGCATTCTCCACTGTTTCTGCCCAGAAAAATTCAGCAGTTTTGTTTTCCCATAGCTGAAGTGCTCCAACTATTGGAATCTCAGGCGCCCCGGAGGGCTTCATAGCCCATTCCCAAGGTTTTTACCAGCTCATTGGCACAAGCGAGTTAAGCCAGGAGCACACATGCTTTACTCCAGACAGTATTAGTACTAGATAGCAAAAAGCTCCTTGCCTTTTTGGCATTAAATAAAGGTACTCCCATCATCGTCRCCTTTGGAAGTAATATAATTCAGTGTATATATATATGAGGACATCTGGATGTAAAATTACCATCTTATCAGCCATATCTGACTCTTGCATTGTATTATGGATTCCTGACTTAAGTCACGATGCATCATATAATGTGTCACTTTGACTTCAGTGTTTTAATTTAGATTAGTGTGAACTGAGCCGAAGGCCTCCTCTTCCTTCACAAAGTTCAAGACAGTTAAATTTAGGGAGTCTCTCTTGGCAAGTAAGCAGGCCTACCACTTATCTCTGTTTCTTCCTTGTCAAACTTACAACTCGCTTCCTGACCCAAGTTGTTTCTTGGCACCAGAACAGCAACAAAACAATACAATTACGTATTGTTTTCATTTKATTGTAAATGTTTTCAATTGTTTTAGCTATCAAGCCCAGCTTGGAAACTTGAGGGAAAAATTCCTTCAGCTGAGAACTCCCTCTTCTGTCCGCTGACGCGGAGGACAGTGCTGCTGGCCTGAAGCCAGGCTCCTAGCARGTCGCCAACGTGCTATTGTGTGATCTCGGAAAAGACCCTTAAGCTCTTTGGACCATGGTCAGATTGCCTGAATTCCACAGAACCTCTGACATCTACTTTGTCCTATTTGTACCTCGCTTACTGCCCTATTTGGACCTCCCAAACAGCAATTTGGAAGGCCCTCAAGGCAGCGAGGCAGGGTGAGGCTGCTTGAGAGTTGTCCTTTAAGTTTGTCCATCTCTAACGAAGGGTTTTGTCCTTCTGCGTGTCTGGAAATCTCTAAATTTTGTATGTCGAATATGAGCTGGTTTTATTAAATGTGTTTAAAGCTCTTGAAGTGTAAATGATCTTTATACCACCAATGGTCCAAAGTGCTATAGTACAGTAGTAAGAATATCCTCTGTTGTTCTTTAACTAAAATCCCCTATTCCAAATTAGTTGTAACTAACGATGGAAAAACAAACATAAGTGATCACCCGTCTCCCCTATCATCATTTAATGGAGAATCCTCGTTTTCAGAGCGCATTACATCTGCGTGGATGTGTGTTGCAGGCCATTAGCAAGAGCTGTCCTTGAAGATAAAGTTTGCTACCATACTGAAACGTTGCAAGGAACATCTGATCCAAGCTCTGCGCCGGCAGTTTGCAAATGTGCCTGTAAGCCGTGGGTATGGGCAGCTCGGAGCCTGTGATGCAGCACGAGCTAAAGGAGAACGGGAGCTGAAGAGGCTGGGAGGGTCCTGCATTTGCTCTAAACATTTTCAGACTTCTTCCTTTATGTCAGAGAGTGAGGAGAATGTTTTCAGCTGTGACCTGTGATACTGTTGTAGCCTCTGTCATAACTGTCGTGATAAATCTGCTGTATCAAAGGAGGAAGCTGGCTTTGAGCAAGAAATGGGCATCCAGGATAAAGGTGACTTGTTTTACTGGAGTGATTTGCTTTGACTTGTTTACAATAGAGGCAATGTCAAAACAAACAAACCCTTTTGGGGGGGATCTTGTAGAATGAATTTGACTCCAGATACTTTACCCTTCCCTTTCCCATTTTTTATGTCCGATCTCACGCAATGTAAAGGAGAACCTAGGACCAGGCCGCTAGATACGTTGTGCCCTCGACTGACAAAGCATCTCCTCTGCAGGGAGAAAAGCCCCAGCACCTGGAACCAGCTTCCTTTAGGACTTGGTCCTTCCAGCACCTTCAGRACCCAAAAGTCTGAGCTGGTTATTTGGACATCAGAGAGGAATGTGCTTCACAGCAGCACCTTTTCCATCCATCCTTATCCCTCATCCATGAGCCCCCTGCAAGTGTAAGCCAAACAGATACGTATGGATGACCATAGGCTGACTCAAGCCTTTAAAACTGTTTTGTCAGCCTGAATGATTACCAGGAAGAAAGGGAAGGAAGCCCTAAGCAAGGTATCCTACCCAGCAATCACAATCTGAGATCAAAAGTCTGTCTGCACTGTGATAGTGAAGTTAACTACCTTGAGATAATGTCAGCGATATCTTATCAGCTGTATTTAATCATGTGCTGGATTAGGTGGGTGGAGAGAGGACAGTTCAAATTTTCTCTCCCCCAAAGCAGTTCTCGGATACTGCTTTTACTGCGTGTTCTAGATCTTACCATGCAGTTCTTGCTCTCCTTTCTTAAGCATGTAACAGTGCAACGTTTCATTCCAACGTGCACCTTAGTAACGTCATTCTGTTTTGTCAACTTTCAAATGGACTTGGAAAAATACTGTAAGCACGTGTGCAGACCTTGCTGCTAGAGCTGGAAATAGAAGCTGAAGTTACTGCTTCTATTTCCTTTTCCTCTGGAATCGCTTTTTATCCTATTCATAAAGATATCAGGTATACTCTGTTTTAATGACCCTGAGGAAACATGAGACTCAAGAATTAATGCTGACAATGTCAGTACCAACATGGTTATGTAAATTTTGTTTGTGAAAGCTAAAAGTACATAGGTAGGGATATAGAAAATAGAAGGAATSGTGAATTGTATGCATCAATTTTTGGGGGCCCCAGAGCATGGGCTATGGGGGAGTGTCCTCTCATGGTTAAGTCTGTGATAAAGAAAAAGGCTAAAACATACCAGGGCTTCCTCCATCCCCCTTAAAACATAATTACTTTTCAGAAACACTTGGTGCTCGTTCTAACTCTACTAGAGAACATTTTGCCTTGCTTCGGCATGCCTGATAGCTGTGCCTGAGGGTCACTCATCTCCAGGAGAGCCAAGCACACCCTCCGAGATCCACAGCTGCTGCTGTTAATGGAATATGCTGCACGGAAACCCGTAAGGTGAGTGGATGAAGTGATGGACAGGGATTCAAGACAAATAGCATCTCTTTGTGGCTCTGTCCAGCTGATTGGCCTGTGAAKGGGTTGTTGCACCTGTGTGCCTCAGTTTCCCTATCTGGGGAATATAGATAATGAAGTTTGTTTCCTTCATGAAGTACTTACAGTACTTAATGAGTAAGTGATATTATATCTAGACAGGTCAATGCTGGAAGCAACCTGGTGGATTTGAGCACGAAATGACCCCTACTGCAGCTATCTTAAATAAGCTGATTAGTAGATATCRCTCAAACAAGTTCCTAAAAGCAGTAAGATACAGCTGGAGTGTAAGGAAGATTTCCTTTTCTTTTGTAGATGTCTCCCAGACAAAACATAAAAAGTAATTGGGCCTCGTTCTCTAAAGCTGAGGGTTTGTGAAACATCCAGGCTCTAACTTAATAAAATGTTAAGAATAAAATAAACATGGATGCAAAGAAGGTGGGAGGGGGCTTCAAAATAACAGTTGCTTTCCATGTATTACCTTTTTCTTTTGAAGAGCTAATTATTAATATTAAGCTAGTAAAGACTATATGGGTTCTCTATGAGTTTACTGTAATAGAGCAGTAAATTTAGCAGGGTGTTAATTAGTTGTTGATTGATTTCTGTCAAGCAAACAACAATTGACAKAGACTTTGGAAGAGCAAAGGTTCCTTGTGTTTCTGTGCTCCCGTACTACCCCTGAGAAGCCTCAGGAGGCAGAATATCTGTGAAACACAGACTAAAAAGGTAGAAAAGTATGTAAACTGTAAGGTAGGGATTTGGAAAAGGCAAGTTACTGACTCCTGGGTATGGAGAACTAATTAAGAGCAGAGAAATAAGACGTTGGAAACCCCCCCATTTTCCCCATGTTCCTTAAGGCATTTTGTGGGTACCTTAGACCTCTGTTGCTTTAAGTTTGGCAAATGAATCTGCTTGAAAACCTTGTCCCTTTAATAGGCTCTTGGTGCAGTGCTTCTCTCTGATACATCAGATAATATTGTATCTCCTTTTTTTTTTTCCCCTTAATGCAGTCTATTCTATTTTAGTACAAACAATAGACCCTTCATTACTACTTAAGGACTGCAGTGTTTATTTTTAATTTATTTTGAGACTGCCTGCCAATATTTATGTAGAAAAAGGTATTTATTCAATGTTATAGTATTTCTGATCCAATAGAAGCATACAAAGAACTTTTGCATTTTTCAATACTAATTATAGATCGCCATTTAATCTAGTCATCATAAGTGCACAAGTGCACTTATGTATAGAATGCAAAAATAGATGGGTCTGCTGAGCTAATGCAGCAAAAGACACATTGTTCTTTCTCAGCTGGCAAGCATAGGAATTTCATCCTATACCATGAAGGGCAAAGCAATATGAGTAGAAAAATAAACCAACCTATTTGAAGTTTTAAGAACTTCATAGAAAATGTTTTGTATGCTTTTTGAATTTATATATATAATCATAGAGATCAAGCAAACCCCAGTAATCTTTCATGGAAGAGGAAAGAAAGTAGAATCTCTAAAGACAGAAAAAAAAAGCCCCCAAAACAACCCTCATACATTCATGAAAGAAGGCTGCATTTGATAATTTTCTACAAAGGATATAAGATAGAGAGAAATAAAACATATTCCCATTTGTCATATGAAAGAACTGGAGAGACTGCAGTGTTTGCACCGGCACTCAACAATCATAAATAAGAGTAACCTTGTTACATAGGGTTAGGAAGAGCAGGCAAGGACTTACCTACTGCCTCAATCTTGAGAATGTGCAGAGAGAGCAGGACAAGGAACAGCAATTCCATTATCTATTTTAAATAGGCTCAGTGTTGAAACCAGAATTGATTAGCCTCCTTAGGATGTGATCATATTTCTGCTCTGAGCTTTATACTGGAGTAAGTAGCCCTGGCCAGACCTGAAAGCCATAGCCAGGAAGGTGAACTCCTCCCCTTTGTAATTTCTCCAGATATACCCTACTCCTGATTTGCCTGAATATATTCATTTCTCCAAAATGAATGCCAAAAGGAATAAGGTTTTCTAGCACTGAACAAGGTCTGCAGTGAATAAATGATACTTTACGAGCTGGGCACATGCTACCCTTTTAGCAAAATACTACATTTTTATTTACTGGTAACATTTTCTCAGATAACCCATATGGATTTCAGACTAACTGTGAATGTGTGCATTAAGGTCGGTGTTTTGTTTAAACACACATACATACTACACATAAACACCAAATTGCTATTCAGATTTGGAGAAGATTTGAGAGACTGAAAAAAATGGGATATGCAGTGACAGGAAAAGTTTGAGTGGCATTCCTGACACTGTACTCATATAGGTATATATGACTTTGCATTTAGTGAATTAACTGAGAGCACACCTTCTTTTTTCCACAATCCTTTTTCTTAACTTTCCTGATTCTGATACTGTAGAATAAGATAGAGATTTTTTTCCATTCCTTTCACTTTCCTATCTGGGTACTTTAACTCCTTGTGCCCGATTTGGTGACAATCGGGCTTTATGCTCCACAAACAAAGGTGTGTGCAGCAATGAAGCACTGCTATTTCTTGCACTATAGTCTTGGTTATATATACATTTTCTGCTTTTTATTTGGGGTTGGATTTTGATCTAGCTGAGGAGGAAAACTGAAGGGAGAGCGTCCTTTGCACTTCAGTACCTCCCTGCCTGGGAGGCTTGGGCACAAGGAGTTTGCAGGATGCTCGAGCTATGCTCCCCTTGGGTGCCCAGGCGGTGGGGCAGCTGCCTCGGGCAAGCTGAGGCATCCTGCAAGCTCTGCAACTCCATAGCCATTTGGCTGCCCGCAGCAGGGACACTCGGGATCAGGACTAGCAATAACAACGGGAAACCTGACAGCTGACTTATGACGGGGCCCTTTATTCATAAAAAGGATGGCTATAAATAACGTTCCCACAAAGATGATTTGTTGGCTAGTGATTTTCCATCCGGGATTAGGTAGATTAAAATGTGAAATGACAATAATTTACCTAGCACATGGTGTGAAGCTGAATAGCTGCTGCAGGGACAAAAACAATATGGGATTTTGCTGCATTTTTGAACTTCCTGGTTTGGCAGTCTCTGAGGAGCTATCTCCACAAGGTGTATGCTGAGCACGTACAGTGACTTGTAGAGTGAATGTGTTGGTGTCAGGTAGTGTCAGCTTCAAGGGAGGTGTGAGACATGTTCTTGGGTTTGAGTTTTTTCTTTTTTTTCCTTTTTCAGGAGATGGTCTTGAGTGCAGGATTAGCCAAAGCTCTTGAAAATTTTCTCAGCCTACTTGAATTTTGTTCTCTGAAAGCAAAAAGCCTYCTAGAAACTCTCTGTTTACGATTAAAATATCTGAGGGTTAGAGATTCAGGCCTTGAAATTCATTATCCTTTGTTTTTGTATGCCTCCCAGCCTGTCATTATTAATGTGATAGCAATTTGCATTGTAGTCATGCGAATGAGCTAATAGCCTCTGTCTGCCCTAGCGCTGTATGCGAGACACGTTTCTTTTGTCTATGAGGTTTGTGATCCAAATAGGTAGGACAGACATGTGATGTTCATTTTTTAGCAAAATAAAGTTACCCAASAGGTGYTTTACTTATTTATTACRGCATATTATGACAGAGGTACCAACTCTCAGTGACAGGTTTGCATCTAGGAATATTCTTTTGGAGTAGCCTTTGTATTTTGAACTCAAATACATCTCAGGATGTGAGCTGGAGAGCCTGCATAACAATATTATGTGGCGAGTCTACCGCAGATCCTTAAACTCGAGGTTAGTTTGCTTATTTATTTAATTTTCTGGATGTAATGTCAGTTGTGTCCATAACTGCATAGTGAGGAAAGGGTGGGAGTATCAATAGCAGTGGAAGAGGCACTTGGTGTGTATTTTCACCAGGGCTMCATAACTGCTGGGCAGGAGACCTGAAATTTCATGGATAGTGGCTGCTGCTGAATCCACAATGTTAAAGCTTCATGTTATATATGAAAAATGCAAGATGGCCAAGACAATCTCTGCTGTATTGTCATGATTCTTTCTGCTGTACTGCTGTGTTTGAAGGACTAAGAAATATTCCTGCTTCTTTACTTGCACATTATTGGTAAAAGGCTCTGCTTACTGTGTAATGCTCATTGCAAATACTTACCAATGTTTGTCTCCTTTTAGATAGMGTCCTACAAGTTCTTCTGTGATCACAGTAACAGCTCTGGCATCTCAGAGAAGTCTCCAGGCTCTGCAGAGATGGGAGAAGGTTTGGTTTGGGGGGCTATCCTTGCATCAGTGTGTCCTTACTGCTATTTGGTACCGTGTAACTGCTGTGGTGGTTCAGCTGGCTGGGAAACAGCAGTCTGAGACATGCAAGCCTGATGATTGTCTTGCCTTTATGGTGCTGGTGAGAGCAGTGACAGCATGGTGGGGACATCAGATAACTACAAACCTGTAATGCAAATATTCCTCAAAGACTGTGGGGGGAGGAAGAACTGAGAGCTTGCTGTTTTGAAAACAACTTAGAAAAACTCTTGGAAGAAGATCATACATCCCATTTCTGTCTTCCTCTCCAAAGAGGAAGACTTTAATCCACATTAATTAAAACATCAATTGGATAAATAGGCTCCTTATTTTTATTACTCCCTTTCCTGAATGTTCCGATTTGCAGGCCTCACAATACTGACTGAGAGACTGGACAAATGGASGTCCTTGTCTCAAGGCCATGTTGTAGGTCATGGCAAGCAAACAGTCATCTTCCACAATACTTAGCAAAGCTGCGTGTCACTTGTCATTTTTTTTTTTCTGAGTCAGATTATATGTTGTCTGCAGCTTAATAAAGTGCAGCAACAGTTGAAGAAATGTCCAACTCTTGTATTTCACAGCAAACAAGGTCTTGTGCTTCAAGTATGGAAGCAGGAATCTGATGCAAATCCTCGTTTTTTCCCTGATGCATCCTACTTTCCTACTTGAAGAGTAAAATCAGTTACCCTTCCAGGGCACAGAGTTATCATCATCTTCATACAAATGCACTGTTTTCCCCTGTAGTTTCAGGAATGAGTTGAGATTTTTTGATGTACTTTCAGCAAAGTGGGCATAAAGAACTGCTATTGCATCACGCTCAGGTAAAAGTGTATGCTGACCAAGGGTTACTGCACAGAAGGAAGAGTCTCAGCTCCTGCACTTAATTTCCTGTTTTGAAATCACCCTTGGCATGTCAGAGCTGGGGCCTGTTACTGTAAGAGCTGTTAAACGCTTGTGATTCATGATGAATTCTGAGAGCTGCAGGTATGCAGCATTTCTGAACTGCAAGCTGAATTGTGTGAAGTTCAACTCTTAAGAACAGTCACTTCAAATAACAGCCATGAGAAATTCAGCCTGAAGTCTTCTGATACCATTTTCTTGGTCTGCTCTACAAATTCAGACTATTTTCTTCTCCGTGGAGGTAACTCGGGGAGTGAATATTAATACTAAACTCCAAGATTCTATCGCACAATTAGGTATAGATGTGAAAAATATTTTATTGATGAGAAATTGTTTACACAAAATAAAGTAATGCTCTCTCACTTAAATATCAAAACAATAGCAATTTGAACAGTCAGATAAAGAAATATAAAAACAATTATAGTACCAAAAAAGGACTGTACAGGATGAAATCAAGATAAATATTAATCAAAGACTTCCCAACAGCAAGGTACAGCCAGTGCTTAAAGTGTTAGCCTGAGATATAAGAGATTAGATTCAGTTCCCTTCTGTACCAGACTTCTTAGGGACCTTAGGCAAATCTTTTGATTGCTCTTTTCCCATTTGTAACATGTAGATAAAGCACTCTTTCCTCACTGGTATGTTGTGAGCATAAGAAAGGTTCCCAGATTTATGTAATGATAAAAGAAATCACTTTGTGTTAAGATTGTTACATGAAAAGATTTGGCAATGTAGTAGCTGTCTATCTTCTATATTACTGACTTAGAGATGAAAAGTGGTTTGAAACTATTTTCTAGACCACAAAACTTTCTTTTGGAGAGTTAGATAGCATGAATCTGAAGCATATGAAACCAGGTTCCATAATTATATTACTATCTCCTTTAATCTAGGGACATTTTGTTAACTTTTATGCAATTAGGGAATTAAGATTACAAAGCCTTTTATAAAGAACTGTTTTTATTACTTGATATTATTTTAATCAAGTTCTAATCTCATATAGTGTTATATTCTTCAACATCAAAATTTCAAAATAGAAAAATTTCAAGTAGCAATTTTCAGGAATATCTAGGGCACTTTGAAGCCCAAGTTCATAGATTCCATTTTCTAAGCAACTAGAGTACTCTTAAAAATCTTACATTTAGTGAATGACCTACTGCTCACCACATCCTCAGCCTCCACTTTGGTTCACAGAACCAAAGAAAACATATTTGGGAGAGGTGAGGAGAGCATGTGGCTCAGTCCCGTGTTGCTCTTGGCAGATGATGCTTGTGTTGTGTGTTACCTGCTGAAATGCTGTTCCTAACACGAGGCGCTGACTTGTGGCGCTGCAAGGAGAAGGTGACAAAAATAGTAGAGTCTTTTTTCAGCAGGAACTTCCCACCAAGCTTGTGACTGATGAGCCTGTGTGAAATACAAAATGGTTTATTGGTCATAATTTCAAGGATAATAGTTTATAGCATATTAATAAATCAACAAAATTGCTGGTACTTATTTCTATATAAAATTTTTTGTGCACTTTTTTTGTGGCCATTTGAAATATTTATTACTTGTGTGAATTATTCCTAGCATATGATAATTGCATATTCCTGGTCACATTTCAACTCATAAGTACCTTCATAAACCTCAATTTTAGTATGGGGAAAGGAGGAAAGAAAAAAAAAAAACTCAAAATGAAAAAGGAAAAAGTTCCTTTTAACCCTAACATTTATCACAAATTTCATATATTATAAATTCAGGCAGTGCTATCAAATAGTTTACAGTTTTACAGCTTTTCAGAGCTGCTGGAATTCTTGCTATAATCATGAGACATCAGCACTGTATGTACCAAATAGCACAGCATCAAGTTCATATACTTGTAGCTGAGCTACTGTAAAAAAATCACTGAAAAACAAATAAATCCTCGTTTAGGATAACAGTAAAAATGCATTTGATAAGATGCATCACAGATCAACTTGGAATTATTTTGTAAGAAACATGTCCTTACCTAGACATTATTCTATWTAAAAACTCGCAAAAAGGAGAGCCTTAGTTGCAGATGTCGGGTAGCAATGAGAGSTCCTTGGAGAGGCCTGTCTCTCTGTGAGCTTTAGGATAAAATGTGGGATTGCATTGAGCACCACAAATCACAAGCAGCTCCTTAAGACCAGAAAAAACATTCATAATACTGTTCATACTTCTATCCTCATGTACTGCTCGCTGTGTTACAGTTGTTTTAAGAATCTCATTTTCCTGCCTGTATATGGCTGTGTATGGTTTCTTTAAGCTGTATTATTGTTTGTTACAGCAGTGCCCTCTGCTGATAGACATTAAATGTACAAAGAGCATTTTTTTTCTAAATAGGCTCCAGTACTTTAAACTCAAWTTTCAGAAGTTATTTACCTTTAAAAAGGCATGAGAAGAAAAGACTTAGTGATATTAGAGCACAATTGTTATCTCTCCATTCAGATTCAAAATCATTCACTAAACTGGGGTCCAGGTTAGTGACACAAAAGTGCTTCTCTTCCTTGGTTTCATCAGCCTTGCCCTCCCTCCCAAAATTCTTGTTCTCCATTTGCTGACTCGCTAATCTCTTATATTTATTTCTGTTTAATGTACTTGCAAATTACAGATGAATTCACATTCATTATTTTTTAAAATATCTTCACAGTCTTTCTAACTATTGATGCAATCATCTGTCTTCACAAGAGCTGGCAAAAGTTTGCTCTAGATGAACGTTGCTGTAGGCAGATCAATTGTACAGCATTAAGTCTATCTTCCACTTCTGTCTACCCTAGCAACCTAACAGTAATTGGCTGAGCCCTGAGTTGGTAACCCAAATATTTAAAAATAAGTGGTTAAAGTTTAATCTGCTGTTAYGGTAATGATGATGTAGCAATAGAAGCCATTCATTTTTCAACTGGAGAAGAAGGCAGCGGTAACGGGGGTGTAGTACGGTCTCCTATGGAATAYGGGATGTGTAAAGCAGGCTTCGTTAATGCTCTGAAATAGGATTTTTCACCATGAATGGCTACCCGAACTGCTCTGTCAACCACACTAAAATCTGGAGTCCACAATTAGTACTTGCACTGGGTATCCCTCAGCTGACTATTAACGTAATATCCATGATCTTCAACTGCACCGTCATTTTCACCATAATGGCCACCAAGGACCTGCACAAGCCTATCCTTGTACTCTTCTGCAATTTGGCTTTCTCTGATCTCTGCACCAGCTCTTCTGGCTTCTGGATTTCATTGCTGTTCATCACCAACCCTGACAGTACCATCTTTGGATCCAAGGATATGCTTGCACCTTATGCCTTTTACACTATATCTGTTTTATCGACCATCTATAACTTGGTGAGCATTGGAATTGAACGCTACCTGGCTGTAGCCGAAAGCATCAGGACAAGATTCAGGGTTTCTAGAAAGCACTCGTTAGCTGCTGTTTTAATTAACTGGGCCCTTGCCTTCTTTTTCGGCAGCTTGCCCTTGATAGGGTGGAACTGCTTGCATAAGGAAAACCGTCTCTCTGTCCTCTACAGTCCACTTTGTGTTGACTACCTCATCTTCATCACCATTCCTAATTGCGTGGTGGCCTTTATTGTGCCTCTGTTCACCTACCTCAGCATCATTATCATCCTGAGGAAAAGAAAGCTCAAAATGAAGGCATGCAGACAAGCTACCGGCACCTACAAATCAGCTGAGATCCAAGTTGCCCGAACGAGCATTTTTATTTGGCTCCTGGCATTGATCTCCTACGCCCCTTTCTTTGCAGGAGTCCTGTATGATGCGACCAACCACCAGAGCCCCCTTGAGCTCTACCCAAACACTTACATCTTTCGGAATTGCACRGCTATGTTGGTAACCATGAACTGTTTGGGAAACCCCATAATATATACGCTGAAGATGAAGGAACTTAAGGCTAAACTCAAGGCTCTGAAGTGTCCTTCCCCCAACCGCGTCCATGCCTGCACCGTTAAGAGCATCTAGCAGCAGCGGCCGTTGCGTGGGGGCTGCATAAAGCTTTATTTAAGCAACATCTTCATGATATATATATCGAGATACTGAAATGACGTCCCTGCCCTGTGCCCTGCTGGCTGCAGGGCCCATTCCCGTGGCATAAGGGGAGGTTTTGGCCCCTGGCAAAACACAGGACATGCACGGGGTCTGAATAGGGTAAGGCAGCCTGGCAACGAGCTGGGCAAAAGGCTCTTTCTGCCCTGCGCCGATGGCTTTTCTGGTCTTTGAATGTTGGTTAAATTTTGTTAAATGTTGCCCTTGAGCACAGTGGCTTTTTTTTTTTTTTCATTAGCTCACCTAATGGATGGGTCTGATTTATCTATCCTTTAAATGGAAGCAGGAGATAAAAATAAATCCATCACTGATGTTTACTTTGTATTTTGAAATACGCTATGCTGTACTTCTCTGCTACTAAGAAAAAAATCCTTTTTTTTCTGGTATTTTTAAAAGTTCTTGAGGATGCCTTTTGTTAAATTATAAGAAAATTCTCGGTAGTATGGGGAAATTAYGTTTTAATTTTTTATTTTTAAGCATTCAAATTGTAGGTCTTGGAAAGCTTGATCAACTTCCATAATAAGGAGGCATTCAATGCTGCTTTACTGCATTACTRCAATTTTAACTGCAGTATGTAGTGGGACTATATGTTTTTGTAACATATCTGTAGCTCTCCTTTTCATATTTTTGCTCATAAACAGAAGCACATTTGAGTCTGTGGCTTTGGAAATTTTAATTGTAAGTTTAGAAGAAAATCTCATTTGTGTTTTGTGGTATCCTATGCTAGTTGTTGTTGCTCTTGTTGTTTTTTAAAAAGTTATATCATGGTAGAAATGGATGTTTATTTTAATAACAAAGGGATGCTTGAATTTCTTAGTCCTGCACTTGCACAGTTAGAAATGTATAGGTTTTGATTGGAAGTTTTGATGTTGCTTGTCTTTCTTTTTGTAAGGTATGCTCAAGCTTTGTTCACTAGTATTGCATTAATGTAGTAATAGGTACTGTACAATCCAAGCAACATCAGCCCTTGAAACACAARGCGGGCTTTTTGGTGATTATTTTCAGTATAACTGTTTGGTTGTCTTTGTTTTAGCATTTCAAAAGGCTTCAGTGGAGTAAAAACAAAATCCCATTAATCTGTTCTTGAGATATGAGAAAACATTTTGTATGAGAAGTGGATTTACCTGTTTAAGAGAATGAGTGATACTATATGATACAGTTATTTTGTTAAATTGATAGTATAATGCACACAATAAATCTATCCTATTTCTTTTTTTTTTTTTTTTTTTTTTGAGCACTATTCCTGTAATTATCAACTCGAGCACCACTAACATCAGGAAATGATCATCTTGTGACTATACATCTCTCTCCTATTATATTTCAACCCCAACTTAAAAACAGGAGATTAGAACAGAATTTACCAAAGGGCAGACGATAAGTGTTATCCTGGGAGAGGCTGTGATGTCCATTTCTATTCTTATCCATATTGACTTTGGCAAGATGGCATGACACAACCAGGCCATTTAACATATCCCTATCTCTTGTAGTGCTTGTAATGCTAAAAAGAAGATAACAGTTGGAATCCATCCATAAATCCTCCAAGAGGAAATAGGCCCTAACTGATGAGGTCACAAACAAACCCTGGGCCTTTTGTGGCCCTGGGCAAAGGCCGGGTGATGGTAACGAGGCTGCGGGTTCAGCTGAGAGGGGCACGAGGGGCCTGGAGCTGCTCTTAGTGGTCATGAACTGCATTAATGTGTTATTGCCTTTCCCCTGCCCTTCCCATTCATCTTATGGATGTGTTTAAGGGCTGTTGGTTCCTTACTTCGTGTTTCTGCCACTTTACACCGTGAGGTTTTCCTTCAGAGACGGGTTGTGTCAGGGTGACAGGGCCACRGCGGCTCAAGCAAAGCCCGTCGGGGCCGGTCCATGCGTGTGCTATTGAAAAACACATGAGCACATAACGTGCAGCCGCTTCCCAAGGCCAGCTTGGGTGCATTCCTTGGCAAAMCGCCTTTCCGCACGTTCATCTCCACCGCTCGCCGCCGCTGCGACGACCGCCCAACATGGCGCCCTGCGGCGAGCCCGCCCAAAGCGGCTTCCCGCGGCTCGGCGCTGGATTAGCGCGCCTGGCGGGGCGGAGGCGTTGGGCGCTCGGC